ATTCCAGGATTTGTTCATTTTATAACAAAACATTTTGCACACCTACTATACTCAATTAAATAAGCAAAGAATATTGTTTGTTTTCCTGTAGGAACAATTGGATACAGCTTTCAAAACTCTGAAGGAGGCAAGGTTTATTATTGAAACTGTGGTGGGAGTTTCTGATCTGCTATGCAGTGAAAATGATATACCAGGGGTACAGCATAACGAGGACGAAAAGGTAAAAGAACAGATATGAAACATGTGAGATGCAGTGCATCATACAGATGAGCAAAATATCTTTGAATTTTCATCAAGGTTTTTTGGGACCTTAAAATACAACTTTATAATAATTCCATATGCCTTTTTGCATTCTATTGGTCATATTATGTAATAATAAATTAGCAAATTTTTAAGATTAGTCTTTATTGATTTTATTGCAAAAGATTAACAGTTATTCCTATAGGAACTGATGCAACTGACATTTCTACCTTAAACAGTTAATTGCTTAAGATTCTGAAATTTACAATAGCAATATATTAAGATTTCTTCAGAAAAAAGTCATGTCCCATCCATGGGACAAAATTCCCCTCATTTGTTAACGGCTGTCAGACTGCCTCCTATCTTTTTGTATATATCCTGACCTTTATATTCTTATTTTGTACTGCATCATTTCTGTGTCATGCAGGCTTTGAAAAAAGAGGGACAGCTGACATGGACAGCTGAAAAACGACTCTTGTATAGGCCTTTACAACTTCTGCAGCAAGCTGTAGCCAGGTTGGAGAAAGATAAACATGGTTTAGAGAAGCACAATGCTCAATTGAGAGATGCATTGCAAGAGGTAAGCTTTTCTGTAAAGCTAAAATAACCAAGGTCAGCATTATTTTTTCAGTGCAATCAATGTAATCATATGTTAGCCCTCATTATACAGTGATTGGGTAAAGTAGTCCTTTGTCCTATAATGTGATCAAATTAATCTAAACTCATTAAAGAGCTTCTGATTAAACAACCAATGTGTAAGACAATGTACTGTGTCATGGTTTTATTGAATACAATGAGTCAACTGTAAGTTTATTGTGTTCAATATTATTATTTTATTATTATTATTGAATATTGAATTATTTTCAGTTGATTGAGGAAGTAATGGATTTTGCATTGTATCAACAAATTTTATATGAAACTTTCAGGGTATTTATGCATAAGCTGAAGAATAGTAGTTCTAAATACAAAGTAAATATGTAAAAATATGGCTGAACCAGAAGAAATTGTTATTTGAATGGGAGGATTAAAGGCATTACTTAACCCAGCAGAAATGTAGTATGACCCGAAGCAAGTAGTTCATGCAAGATAGCCCAAATATATCAGTGAATCAAAAAGGAATGGGCCAAAATAACTCCAAGCCAATGTATGGAAGATATCATTAGGTACAATCAGGGGTGGGTTTCAAATTTTTTAACAATTGGTTCTGTGGGCATGGCTTAGTTGGTGGGCATGGCTTGGTGGTCATGTGACTGGGTGGACATGGCTTGGTGGTCATGTGACTGGGTGGACATGGCTTGGTGGTCATGTTATTGGCTGGGTGTGGCCAACTCAATATCACTCACATCGAGGCACGCATCTCCTCCCCTGGCCTCTCATAACTGTGGGGATGCTGCAACAGTTGTAAGTGTGAAAAATGGTCATGTCACTTTTTTCAGTGCCATTGTAACTTTGAATGGTCACTCCACACAAGCAAAGTACCAGCAAGAGGGAAAGAAAACTCCAGAGAGGTTCCTGAGACAGGAAGTCTAGTCCTGCCAAGAATGTAATAAGAATGTAATAACAGAGAGACAGTTTCTATAAGCAACACCAGAATGTTTCCTTCCTGCCTTCCTTACAGGATTAGGCCAGTAATTTCTTCTAACAACCGGTTCTCCGAACTGCTTAGAATGTTAACAACCGGTTCTAGCGAATAGGTGCGAACTGGTAGAATCCCACCCCTGGGTACAATATACACTTGGTTGAAAGAGGGGACATCTGTTTTTAAATCTAAAGCTTCACATAGTTTCTCCAACAATCTGCTTTATATATTCAGTAAACATGCTGTTTTCAGAGTTATTTGTTTAACCAGAATCTTTTTATCTATTAATAGGATTTAGAGAAAGCTCTACTTTCTTATAGGTCACAGTACTGCAGTATTATAAAAGGTTCACAAACTTATCTCACAGTGTAATTAATAAAATAAAACATGCTTGCTCTTTTTTCTGACTTCCTGGGTGTTTAATTGATTTCATAGGGTAGTTAACATTAAGATAACTTTTATTGTAATTTTTTTCTGTGGGCACTCTGGCACACATTAAAAATGAAAGTCTATTGCCTGCTCTCAGAAATGTAAACCTACATAATACACACATATAGATATGCTATATACATATCTACCTAACACACACATATAGTTATGCTATATACATACATTTGTATATACCTACACTTAAGAAATAAATACATGTAAATATTAATCACTGTTCATCTTGAATATATAGCGGAAAGAGGAGAATGCTTGAGGGTTCACAAAGTTAATACTGTACGGAACAAAACTGACTGAATCTGGGTGTTCCAAATATTCTTATACACATGACCTATTTTCAGAAATTTAGGGCTATTCACAATTCAGTGTTTTGTGCTTGGCATTCTTTGCCTTATATTCAGTAATCTCAGTATCAGCAGTCAATTATTAGCCAGTTTTAGGATAACATCTTTGTCTCTCTTATCGATTGCAGGTAGAACATGAACGAAGGAAACTGAAAAAGAGTCATGGAGACTTTTCTCTAAGTTTTGAATATTCACAAGCTGACTCTGGGTCACAAAAGGTTCTCTCCGTTTCAAAGGTTTGAACAAACATACATACATAACGTTTATGCCACCCGTTACCAAAAGTAGCTTGCAATCATTAAATAAAAATGCTACATAAAACAATAAACAGTGATCTTAAATTTAAAATTAGTTAAAATTAAATTGACCAAGAGGAAGAGGAAGGGAGCAAAGTGAAGAGGAAGCAAAGTGGGGTGTTATCCATTGGCCACCTACAGAATGATATGCCGTTATTGGGGTCACAAGTCAGTTGACAGAGCTGTATCTTCAAGCTCTTTCGGAAAGCCAAAAAGATGGATGCAGATTCACCTTGGGGAGCCCAATGTTCTCCAGGAGCCATAGCTGAAAAGGTTCTTTGTCTGGATCCTGCGATCCCAAATTCCTTGGTGACGGGATCTGATGCATACCCCTTCTGCCAGCATGGATGGGGCAGGTTAGTCCCATTGGGTGACACAGTTCCTCAGATATTCTGGATCCATGCTATGAAGAGCTTGCATATTTTATTATCAGAAGTTGCACTTAAAAGCATCCACTATTTCCTTCCCTTCCCGTTATATTTAACTAGGGCTCAGCAGTTAAAGACGCTGAGCTTGTCATCTGGAAAGTTGACTGTCCGGGTTCGAGTCCCGAGCATCACATGACAGGGTAAGCTTCCATTACTTGCCCCAGCTCTTGCCCTATTAGCAGTATGAAAGCATATAAAGGCACTTAGGTAAATAGATATCGCTTTGGTGGGAAGGTGTATGCTGGCCATATGACCACAGAAATGTCTTTGGACAAAGCTAGCTCCCTCAGCTAAGGAATGGATATGAGCACTGCCCCCGAGACTCAGAAACGACTGGACTATTGAATATAAAGAAGAAACCTTTATCTTTATATTTAATTAAAGTTTATAATTGTTAGATTGAACTTCAATAAATGGGAGAAAATCTAAACTGTATAAATAGTTTTCTCTTCCTAAATAGTAGACTTCTTGAAGGTGAGCATCTGACTGAGTTTTCTCTCTCCTTTCCTAGAAAGAAACCCAGGTTCTCCAAAAGCAACTGGCAGAGTTACAAAAACAGGTGTGTAATTTATAATTGGAATACACTAGGTCTCTTAGAACTGTTCTTCTTATCTTCTATTGGTACAGAGCTGCACCTCCATAGTAACTGCATTTTCAAAGACTCACAATAGTTTTTGTAAACGATCTTAAAGGACACTTTAGAGAATCCTTTTGGCAAAACAAACAACAGTTTGGGACATTTTGTCCTCAAAATCATTTTGTACTCTATTTTTTAAAAAAATTCAAAATATTTTTATCCATGTCATTTGAATAATTCAGTTTTTGCTGTTGAATGTATTGTTCTAAATGCACAATGCATTGTTATGAAAATAGTTAATTATGCACCATCAACTTAGTGTTGATTATTAGCGATCACATAACATTTTCTCAGAATTTATTAGTAATATTAGATATAGCTATAGCACTTAAGACTTATTTGCTGCTTCACAGTGCTTTATGTGCCCTCTAAGCGGTTTACAGAGTCAGCATATTGCCCCCAACAATCTGGGTCATTTTACTGACCTCAGAAGGATGGAAGGCTCAGTCAACCTTGAGTTGGTGAGAATTGAATTCCTAGAGTGAGCAGTGAGTTAGTCTGCAATACTCCATTCTAACCACTGCGCCACCATGACTTAGATATGTTAAATAACAGTTTTACTTTACATAAGATACTATTCATTGAGTTGAAAACTAGAAGTTCTTCAGAGAGAAATAATTCATTAGTCCTTGATGTAATTTGTTGTTTCAGGTTTTTGTTCTACAATCACAACTATCACTAGAACGGAAACAGAAGCAGAATTATATCATCAACTGTACTAAAACAAATCAAGAGCTTTCAGATTTACATCAAGAGCTTGTAAACTCTTTAGCTGCTGTGGCTAGGAAACCTGAGGCAACTGTTTTGGAATCAGAGACTCGCAAGCTTGATGAAACCTTGAACAACAGCTTTACATTGAGAGTTGTAGGCTCAGACAATGTCTTACCTGGAAAACATCTACCAAGCTCAACACCCAAAAGTGTTCATCAGAAGCCCACAAGGTAGCATAAAAGTGGCAAAAGCAAGAAACTATAGAGGCTCCAGCACAAGCAGAGTTTAAAAAGTTGTTGATATAATGGATCCTTCTGTATTCAGCTAGCCTTGATTTCCATAGTCTATCTGCCAATTTTGATCCTTCAGAGTATAATTCCAGATTCTTTGGAATCAGTGAAAAGATTAGAAAGATCATCTCAATACAGCCTAAGAAAAAACAAAAGTAGTTGAAAGGCTGCGTATTAAGTGGCTGAAGATACGCAATGCGAAAATCTTCGGACATAACAAAATTCAAAGCCAGTGTATGAGAACTAAACAAAGAAATGACTCCTTGCAACCATTTCTGATAAGAAGAATGAAAGTTCATTCCAGGAAATGAGCCATGAAAAAACTAAATTCATTAAAAAGATTTCCCGCTTTGTTTTGTATAAACAAATGGGACACTACTTGATCAGAGAGCAGAACCTCAATCTAAACAGTCATTTTGGTTTAATTATCTTATTGATAGAGATATCATTTCTTAAACTATTGTACAGCAATTTGGTGTAAGATATATCTAGAGGGTTTTTGTAACATTGTACTAAACATTTTTTATAATAAAAAAGCATTTTTATTTTTCCTTTCTTTGCTCAAATATTTCATATGAAGCTTTTCTGCTTTTTTCAGATTGTGGTATATATGTAAATAGATGTAGAAAATGGCTATGCATACATTTTATCTAAGAACTTCTGGAAGTTTATATTGACAAGGAATATATAAGACACATTACCATTGTAATTAAAAAAGAATATAAAAAATAAAAAAGTAAAAATAATTAATTTAGTTTTTGAGTTCTCAGATATCCTCTGGAACTACAGTGGTACTTTTTTACTAACTTCTAGAAGGCCAATGCTGTACTGAAGGTACTAAGTTAAAAGTTACAACTAAGAAGTAATGTCTGCAAAACTGACTCCTTTACCTCATAAAACTTAAGAGATTACCAAAAAACGTTGGGAGTGATGAGACAGCTGGTTGCTACAACATAGAATTGTTCCTGAAAGTACAGTAGCTATACCAACTCATAATGGAGTTTATGAGTTAAAACCAGGAAGTAAAAAAAGGTAAAAAAAGGTTGATGACCTAACAGAAAGGAGGAATTACCACTAGCATTTTGGAGAGAAAGAAAAAAGATGGCTAATGAAGCCAAGATGCATTTAGGCAGTTTACATATTGAAAATTTACTGATTCTAGACACACAAAATTCTTTATTGGCCAAGTGTGAAGAATTTCTTACAAGAAATTTGTCTCGGTGCATATGCTCTTGGTGTACATAAAAGAAAAGATACATTTCTCAAGAGTTAAGAATCATAAGGTACAACACTTAATAGTCATAGGGTACAATAAGCAATCAAATCATACTAGGAAACAGTCAAAATAAATCATAAGGATACAAATCATAAGGATAGAGTGAATTTAAGTCCACTGCAGAGTTCCAGGAAAGGTCCAGATTTCAAGGGCTCATTCCTACTTGACCGGAGGAACAAAAGCCTGAAAAGTTTTCAGCTAAGCTTTTGGTTAAATCTAAACAGAATGTCTATGGAGGCTTTAGGAATAGTTATAAAGGTGCTAGCAAGAATAGATACTGCCCTGTTAGACGATTACATGGCAGGTAATGAAATAATTAACTTAGGAATGCTAGACGTTTTTTTAAAAATTACATACCAATATGGGCTTGTGCTCTACCTCAAATCTTGCTATGCTCCCTTATTGTAGTAGTTGTGATAGGGTTCCTGGGAAGGATGCATGAAGAAGCAATGTACATCATATGTTTATACTCCCAGCAAGGTCAGGCAGGATATGAAGCTCATCCTAGCTGTCCAGTTAAAGGAAGGAAACCCATATATCGTGCAGAAGCTATATAGAAGATGCTGGGGGCAGATGACCACTTTAGTGACAATGGTAAAGATAACCATCCATAACCTAGAAGAAATCAACAGTACACCAAAAACAGACAAGTGGTTGACTGTAGTACTGGATAATGGGCCCTTTAGGTTAGATGGCACTCAGCATGTACTACTGAGGAAAAGCAGAGATTCTTTTGGATTATTAAAGGGTATTTATGACATGGCTAGATACAAGCCTTAGAACTTCTGGTTACTAATGCTGCCAGGCAAGAAAATAAAATCCTAAATTGTTAAGGGAATCGCAGTAGGAACATGGAATGTAAGAAGCATAAACATGGAGAAGTTCAACAATGAAATATAATTTTAATCAACTACATATTGATATCTTAGGCACCAGTGAATTGAGCAAAACAATGGCATTGTTCTCATAGGCAGGATATAGCAAAGACAGCAATGGAGTACAATCCCTGATTCTCTTCAGCTTGATAAGTATCTCCTGCTATTTTCAATAACAAAAAGATAATAGTAACCATAGAAGCTCCTCTTCCCTTTTTTGCTATTTGATCATTACAACTGTGAAATTAAAATATCAACAATTAGTGGCTAGCAAAATCCCATTTTAAAAAAATGTTGAAAAGCTGCATAAAATTAAAATTTATAAATTAAATTTTGCTGTTAGATCTGCATGGGAAAATAGAGTTTATAGACATTTACCGAAATATGAACTGAGGTCAAAACGTGTATTTCCCAGTTTCAGGTTTAATTCCGAGTGAGGTATGTCATTGAAACTTGAATTACTGCATATTTGTATTAACTTCTTATAGTTAGGGCCTAATTAGCCCTGGAATAATTTATTTTATACTTCAAATTGCTCACTTCCCAAATGGACTAATTCAGAAGGGAAATAAAAGTAAAACTGTTTCCATATTCTTTAGATAAGTAGACAAATGCCTTGCAGAAGTTCATTTTAATTTTTTTTTTTAAAGAGCACTTTAAAAAATCCTGGATTTTGTACAAAAGTTTACTACCACATCCTGCAGATATTCCATAATACTCTAATATGATATTTCCCTAATAATAATAATTCTCTCTTTCCATACCCACATTAAGTATTTCTAATTTTCTGAGATTCTAGAAACAGCCCTTGGTTGGGTGGTTATTTCTTCATTATATTCTATGCCATCACTTTTTGCAACTAGTGGACAATAGTTGCTAATTGTCTGTTTAATCCTTTGCTTCTCTACGATTAGAGAACTTCAACTACACAGCACACATCTTAGTAACTGGACCAGATGACAACCACTGTAAACGTCCCTGGGGGCTGCTTGAGAGTTGCAAATGGAAGATCCTCAAAGGAAAAAACAACCCTTCATACTAGTATATCATATATACTATAAATATAAATATAAAAATAAATTGGCGGAATGATTAGAAAGAAGGTAGTTTATAACCACCCTGAAGGTTCATTCGAACTCCATGTCTAAACATCTGAACGTTAGAAACAAAACGATATCGCGTTTTATTTATTTATTTTATTTTATTTATTTGATTTGCCAATTGTTTACAAGATAATAAGTATAAGTGTATACATAGTTGTGAATACATGAAATGGGTACATATAAGAAAAATAAAAGAATAAGAGAAACAATAGGACAGGGACGGTAGGCTCGTTGGTGCGCTTATGCACGCCCCCTAAGTGTGTTTCCATACACACACACTTAGACCCAGGTTAGACAAAAGATTCGCCGTTGTGCAACCCAAGACGTCATTTTACTTAAGCTCCTCAAAAAAATAGCTCCGTTTTGGCGACGGGAAAGAAACACCCACCGAAATCAGGCTTTTAACTCTGAGAGAAAGCCAGTACCTGTCGCCACCCCCTTGATAACTAACGGAGGGCGGGGCGAGGGCCGGAAGTTCGTCGTGTCTTCTGGTTCGTGGGTGGGGGAGTGTCCATCATGGAGTCGCTCCGGAGGCTGAAGCGGTTCGATGCCTTCCCCAAGACGCTGGAAGATTTTCGGGTGAAGACCTGTGGCGGCGCTTTCGGTGAGGGACCGCCGGCTGCCCGAGGACTACAGGACTCAAAGGGAGGGCCGTTGGGAGGGACACAAGCGGGGTGCCTCTTGGAGAGATCCTTGCTAGTTTAAAGCGGTGCTAAGTTGAGGCATAGTGTTTGTTGCACATGCAGACAGATAGGATCAGCATAATGTTGCATGTGTGAACTGAAAAGAGTTTGACGCATTTGTTATCTTTTGGTCTTGGGGATTGTTTGTGAAGTTGGACCTTCGCAGGTTTGGTGATCGGGAGCGAAAGTGTGATATTGAAAAGTATAGAGGCTGAACTTAATGTGATTTTTCTCCTGTGTTATGTTCTCACACCTAACGTTTTCTCAAAGCCTGCAACAGCATCAATTCCGAAGGCAATATGTTTTGTTATATTTGCATTGAATGGGTATGTGAGGACATCGTTTAAAGAAAATCCAGCCTAGGCAATTAGTGCTTCCATTTTTTAAAAAAGCAAATTAATCTTTAAGTATGCACAGAATAGCCAGAATGGTGAAGTGATTGCTTGGTACAGCTTTGGTACCACTTGCTGGTAAGAAATCTAAATTTATTTTTGTAGCAATCTAATAAACTGTTGACTCTCTTGAGAAATAAAATGAGACTCTGTGTAAACCATCTCATTCATTATACTTTCTCCAGTCTAGCACAGTATGGTAGATTAGATTTGTTTTTAACTTCAATCTTTCAGCCTTTGCCAGATGTTCTGTGTCATTTAATGCTCAGTAAAAATCCAAGAAAATATGTCTTCTATTGAGGACTGATAAAAGGAGTCAAATTATCTTATAATGGCTCTTTACCATTGCTTATTTTAAAGTACAGTAATCTATACTATTTTAAAGTAACAAAGATGAGATAAAGAATCAGATTTGATCTTGCAGAGATAATGAATGGATGCTTTGGGGTGATTCCATTGCTTGTTTAAAATTTAAATGTTCTGAAATATAACATCTCAAAACTATTTTAAATCTGTTAAAATATATATGAAGCAATACATAATCTCTTTTAGAAATATTCCTTTTTTGCTATGTAGCACTTGCCATAATTTGTTTTTCACTTGTATTGATCCAAGCGTTTTATGTATTTGTCAGATAGTGCTTCTGAATCTTTTGCTGCCCAGGATTCAGCACCACTCCTTTAAATATGTGCTTACAACTAGGTACCAATAGTAGAAATTTTAATTAAAGCAGCTTTCTGGAATCTGGAAAAATGATATATATGCATTCCTTTTTAAGCATCCCTTTGAAAATGAAAATTGATTGCTGCTGGTGGAAATGTTCAGCCCTGTCTTTTGGGACGTCTTTGAGGCTCAGAATACATTCACCAGTCTGGAGATCAAAAGTCAATAAGACTAAGGGAGACTTTAAAGAAAGCTTGCATTGTTCCTTGAAAAAAATATCAGTCTTCCATGGAGAATGAACCTTTGAATGCAAAAATTATAATAATATCTTATAAATAATCATATAAAGGTATATATTCTGTTGTATAGCTTTTAAAAATTATGGCAAGAATAATGGCTGGTTGTTTAGTATATGATTATTTAACAATGTATTATTGAAGAGAAATGAATATTACCTAATATTTTATTTTTTCACTTTTTTAAAGGTCTTGAAAACTAAGAAGGGATTTTTCCCTGATTTTTTTTTTTCTTGGTGTAGTAAAAGCATTGCACCATATTGCATCTGAATAACACAAACATGTTTGTTTTACCAAATGATCCTACATTAGGAAGTTTCATCAGACAATTACTTTTCCACATGCAGCTGCAGTGCACTATATATTTTTCACATGTTTTTGCATACATTTTTTTCTATGAATATAATATTTGTATATAAAAAGTTTCATACAAGGAATTATTTTTATGTATACAACAAAAGTCAATCAAGTGATACAGTACTGCAGTCCAAGACTAGTTAGTTTAATTATTTCTTGGATTGATTCATCATTCCAAAATTTAATATTGATTCAAAACTTTATTAAAAAGCTTTCAGAGGTGTTTGTGTTTGGGGGGAGGTAGTCTGCTAATTTGTTGTACCTAAAACAGCTGTTATGTTGTCCTAAGCCAGTGCTTATTACAGCTACATTTTTATGGACTAGAATTCAGGGGTGTCAAACTGGCGGCCTACAGGCTGGATGTGTTACATGCAGGCCACACCCTGCAAATGGGAACCCTGTTGTGAAACATCACGTGACGACAACATGATGTGGCGAGTTTGACACCTATGGACTAGATGGACACCTTTGTATTTTAAATAAAAATATGGTGTTGAATCCTTCTCTCTCAACAAGGAGTTCCATAGAGGCTGATTGGTTTCCTGAGAAATCTTCAAATTTTTATAGTACTAGGCATTTTAACTGGAGGCAGTAGATGATCTGCAAAGGGCCTAGCCAGTTGCTCCATATGATTCTCTGGATGATTTCTTGAGTAAGCAAAAAATGCTTCTAGTGTTATTTTCTTAAAAGGTATATGCATTTTCATTTCCTTTTGGGGAAGCCATAGTGAGGGCCCCTGTTGACCCATATGTTTTTATAGCACATACAGAAATATACAAAAATTGTTAGGGAGATGATGATAATGATGATGATTTACAACCCCAAATCACTTAGAGTGAATTAGGCAGCCATTTAAATTTTCTTGAATAAATAAAAAAATGTTTAAACTTGTATGCTGTTCAACTCTCAATGATTTTGGGTGGCTCACTTCACAACAAAGAAGTTACCGAATAACGTCAGTAACATATAAATGGTTGTTGTTTGGTGATAGATTCAAATGCTTTTTGATGCAGAGCACTTCAGGCTCAGTTCCTGGTATTTCTCTAGAAAGATCTGTTTAAAATTATAGAACAATTGTCGGTATAGAATAGATAGATCATTGATCTGTCCAATACTTTACAGCTTCTATGCTCAAATGTTAATACAGTGATAGCTGTATGAGTTTTATGATCTGACAACATATAACTTCTTTCTTCATATACAGTGACTGTAATCAGTGGACTCATCATGTTCTTCCTGTTCTTCTCAGAGCTCCAGTACTATCTTACAAAGGAGGTAAATGAGTCTGTTTCTTTCTACTTGTCCTAGGATGCACATGTTTTAGATATGACCAAATGGATTCAAAGTTCCCTACTTGCCCTATGAAATCTAGGCAACTATGGGCCAATTATTGTCTTTCAGGCTAATTTATCCTACAAGATGCCTCGAAAGAGAAAAAATAGATTAAATACACCATTCTGAAAGTGGAGTAAAAAAGCAAATTTTGCTTTTATAGTCCATTTTGAAGACTTATACAAGCAGAAAGTATACATTTAATAAAGTATTTTAAAACATAGCTGTATATTTAATGTTGAAATTGGTCTATTTGTATTATACCTTTTATTAAAATTAATGTAGTTTGAAGCTATTCTCCCATTGCATTTTTTTTGCTTGCCTCTTTTGCACTCATCTAATCAAAGGAAATATTACTTGAGATTCCTGTGTTCTACCTTAATATGATTGCTGTGCCTCAAGGATTTTCCTTTTCCTTATAACAGGTGTCTTGAAACAAGCAATAAAAATTGTGTGTCTCCTCAGTATACTGTAGTGTGTTCCAGCTGAATTCCTTACCTTATTGTCTTCAAGATATATTGGCCTACAGCTCTGAGGAGTCCAGAATATTGGCTCTGCTGACTGGTCTTTATGGGAGTAATTGTCCAAAATCAATTCTTTGCTTTAGATTTCCAAAATCCACAACTAGTCCTCTTTAGTTCTTTGAATATGAGATGCTTAAAAACAAGGTTGTTTTCAAACCACTGAAGCAAATAAAAAAAAAACTCCTGATGAATTTTTGAATTGAATTTATTTGTTTATTTATTCAATTTTAATATGAGAGAAAATATCAGAAATCTCTTTTGGGTGTCACCTTTATTAAATTTTCATGGAGTCTGTCTTAAAATTACCCCATCAAATAAGGTAGGAGGCCATAAAGTTGGGATTGTAGGATTGTCCTCACTAAATAAAGCAGTCATGTGATACCATGTTAAGCAATGACAATCTTGGCCTCAGTTGCCAAGCCTAACCCAAGGACTACCTGTATTATTTTTTAAAAAAATTATTTTCAAAGAAAAACAAGTAATGCTGATAGAAACAGGCATTCAAAAGAAAACAGAAGGAAGAGAAGAGGAGACAACCAGTATGAGCAATAAAATTTGAGTGATAACCAACAAATGTAAAATATATGGCTAATATGTTCTGATAAATAATGCATTTATGTATAAAATATGTGAGCCAGTTACTCCTTGAAAACTTTGGAAGGTGTAGTAAAAACTGTTTTAAAAACAATAAAATATAACATAAAATGGTAGCATTAAAACCGTGGAAAAACAACCATATTTCGAGTCTGCTTCTAAACTGAAATAAAGAACGAACTTCCTTTAAATCTGATGATAATTTGTTCACTAATATCGGCCTTGTCATGGAGAAATCTGAATTGGTGCTTGATGTCAAATATATCCCAATTGAGTCCCATTGATTTAAGAGGGCACTAAAATGTATGGGAAAAAGTGATCCTATAGGTAGTTTGGGTCTAAGCTACAAATTATTTTTTGATTGTTTATTTACTTTTCTTTAGATTCACCCAGAATTATATGTCGATAAATCAAGGGGAGATAAGCTACGGATAAATATAGACATTGCTTTTCCACATATGCCATGTGCTTGTGAGTAAAGGGTATTGAATTTTGCTTTTTAGTTTTGAAATGATGGAAGATGGATAATCCTTGGCTTTACAGAGTATTTTATAATATTTAATTAACCTTCTTAGGAACATGTGTCTGGAACCTCTGCAAAGTAAAGTAAGATTTTACTTAAAAGTAAAATCTTAAAAGTAAAAATAAAAAGCCAGTTCAGTCCTAGACTGCTTTAACAGGGATAAAACCAAGATCACATGAAATGTTAATACTACTTTATAATGCCTTGTTATTATACCACACTTGCATCCAGTTTAGGTTGCTATGATAACAAAGATTGAGACTCTATAAAATGGCAGAGAAGAGCAACACAGTTCTAGGCTGCATAAACAGAGGGATAGAATCAAAATCATGTAAAGTGTTAATACCACTTTATAATACTTTGGTAAGGCCACACAAAGAAGAGGGAGTCAAGCTATTTCCCTGAAACACCAGAAGGCAGCAGAACAAGAAGCAATGAATGGAAACTAATCAAGAAGAGAACCAACCTAGAACTAAAAAGAAATTTCCAAACAGAACAATTAATCAGTAGAATAATTTGTCTCCAGAAATTGTGGGTGCTCCAAAACTGGAAGATTTTAAGAAGAGATTGGACAGCCATTTTTCTGAAATGGTATAGGGTTTCTGCCAGAGCAGGGAGTTGGATTAGAAGACTTCCAAGGTCCCTTCCAACTCTGTTATTCTGTTAAGATGGATGCTGATTACAATGTGGTAGTATTGAAGTGGTAAAAGGAACTACTACTCTTAAGGGTTCAGACATAAACAATAGTTAGATATAAGTAAATTTTATTTAACCTGTGGCATGCATCCTTTCTTGATTTTCGGCAACTGTTATGTTTTAGTATTGATTCAGAATTCTTCCCTTAGATCTTAGCTAGCATGATTATGGATCTACATTGATTTTTGATTATCTAGTCTTCTAATTGCTATTGTTTACAAGAAAACTTCAGGGTTCTCATTAATGGCCCAATAGATATTTGGTGTACTATAATTATCTCACAAGAAATCAGTTTGGAATGGTCTGTGTTTGTTACTTACAGATTTAAGCATTGATGCAATGGATGTGGCCGGAGAGCAACAATTAGATGTTGAACATAATCTCTTCAAACAACGCTTGGATAAAGATGGCAAGCATGTGACTCCAGAAGCAGAAAGACATGGTAGAATAGATATACTGTTCCAGTGTGGGAGCAGTATTGCAGACGAGATGGTAACACTGGGTTTAGTTTCATGACATCTGATTTTAAGGGTATAAAAGTGACAGACTGGCATAAGTTTTTCTTGTGGCCAGATATTCGGCACAAATAATAGAGATGGACCAGTATTAAGAGCTGTGGTGGTGCAGTAGTTAGAATGCAGTACTGCACGATAATTCTGCTGACTGCCGATTGCCAGCAATTTGGCAGTTTGATTCTCACCGGCTCAAGGTTGACTCAGCCTTCCATCCTTCCGAGGTCGGTAAAATGAGGACCCAGATTGTTGGGGGCAATATGCTGACTCGACTGCTTAGAGGGCTGTGAAGCATTGTGAAGCAGTATATAAGTCTTAAGTGCTATTGCTATTAACGATGTTTGAGTATGCACTACACTGATATTGTCAGGATATTAGCCGTACATTACTTTTACAGGTTTTATGTCTTTATTTCAGAATTAGGAAAAGAAGAGGAACTATTCTTTGATCCAAATTCATTAGATCCTGAACGTTGTGAAAGCTGTTATGGAGCAGAATCTGAGGATATGAAGTATGTTTTACTTTTCTTTCTATCACTTGGAAGCAAGAAAATGGTTTGGGGAGGAAGCTGCGTAGCTACATAATTTTCTGAACTTAAGAAAAATTAAGCTTGTGGTTGTTTGTAGTTTCATTGATATTCTTCCATGTTTTCTTGCCTAAAACATACAGTTTGCTGGGCTTTTCATTGTTAATAGAGGGTAGGAAATGGATTTCAGTCAACTGTTTTTCCAGTAATAGTAGACAGATTGAACCTGAAATTAGTGGAAGTTTCAGCCACTTAATTTGGGTTTGGATTGAATCACTGGTTTCACTCCAGGGTAAACTCTTATAAGGTCCCAGATAGGATTGCAAACTGTGCAATAATAGTTTTTCCTGAAACAAAGCTGTTGAGTGGAAGTCTTTTATTGCATTATTTTCTTAGGATGGTTACTCCGGGTATTTGTAGTATCTACAAGTTGTTATTTGCAACATTAACTCACTATGCTTGTGCTGTCTCCCAAATGTTTTCAGCCTCCGCGCACCCTATTTTTGGCCTGTTCCAGGCGGCGGGGATCGGAACGGGCCAAAAATGGGGTGCGCAGAGGCAGAAAACGGGATGCAGAGACTGAAAATGGGATGCGCGGAGACAGCAATAGGCAATGGTAATCCCTGCAGCCTGAAAGAGCTGATGGTCAGGAGGCTGATCCAACCGACAGACAATCAGCTGCTTGTGCTAATCAGGCTGTGCTGAAGCTGACCAGGCTGTTTGCTGTAAGGAAGCAAATGGCTGGGAGGCAGAGCCAGAGCCAGATATATTTTTTTCTTGTTTTCCTCCCCAAAAGCTAGGTGGGTCTTATACTTAGGAACATCTTATAGTCCGAAAAATACGGTAATTCCTCATCTGGAGAAGAAAAAGAATCTATTCTCTCTGCTTGCCATAGGATTCTAAGCTATATTGCTCCTCAGACAATCAGCAAAGTGTGTTAGACCTTTGAAATGCTTTCTACTGAGCCAGGAATAATCAAGAAATTCCACACTACCCAAACTCATTGTCATGTGGCTCGTCCTATAATATTTAATTGGATCCTCAGGCCAATCAATCAAAAGTCTGTGCACCATAAGTTATTTCAGCATATATTTGCTTCTATAACCTACTTTAGAAAGCAATTGTGTATTGATGTCATATTTTCTGTCTCCAATCTTTACCCAAGTACAGGTAGTCTCAACTTACATCAGTTCATTTAATGACCATTCAAAGTTACAATATCACTGACTTACGACTGTTTTCTCACTTATGACCATTGCAGCATCCCTATGGTCACATGATCAAAATTCAGACACTTGGCAATTGACTCATATTTATGACGGTTGCAGTATCCTGGGGTCCCCTTTTGAGACCTTCTGACAAGCAAAGTCAATGGGGAAGCCGGATTCACTTAACAACTTAACAACTGCAGTGATTCACTTAACAACTGTGGCAAGAAAGGTTGTAAAATAGAGCAAAGCTCCCTTAACAAATGTCCTGCTTAACAACAGAAATGTTGGGCTCAATTGTGGTTGTAAGTTGAGGACTAATCTGTACTACTGTGGTGGCTCTCTTAACTTTCTCTGTCTCTCCCAGTTTTCATACGCTTTGGAAATCATCCTTTTGGAAAGACATCTAGCAGTCTTATCTAACAGCCTCTGTGGCGCAGTGGTTAGAGTGCAGCCAGCTGCCTACAATTAGGCAATTCAAATCCCACCAGGCTCAAGGTTGACTCAGCCTTCCATCCTGCCGAGGTCGATAAAATGAGGACCCAAATTGTTGGGGGCAATATGATGACTCTGTTATCATAAACTTTTTTTTCTATTTCTAATGAATGTGTTGCGCATGTCATTTTCTGGCAGATGCTGCAATAATTGTGATGATGTGAGGGAAGCATACAGGCGTCGAGGGTGGGCCTTCAAGAATCCAGATACTATAGAGCAATGCAAGAGAGAAGGATTTAGCGAGAAAATGCAGGAGCAAAAAAATGAGGGATGCAAAGTGTATGGATTTTTAGAGGTCAATAAAGTAAGTGTGGCATTTTTTATCATCATTCTTCATTGGCATTTCACTCAGTATAAAAAGTTGATCGTGCTAAGTAGAAGTTTGGGTAGTCCTCAACTTATAACAGTTCATTTAGTGACCATTCGAAGTTACAGCAGCATTTTAAAAAGTGACTTATGACCATTTTTCACACTTATGACTGTTGCAGCATACCCATGGTCACATGATCAAAATTTAAATGCTTAGCAACTGATCATATTTATGACGGTTGCTATGTCCCAGGGTCATGTGATAACTTGTTGCCATCTGCTGACAAGCAAAGTCAAGCCAGATTCACTTAACAACTAAGTGTGACTTGGACAGAACATCACATATCTTTAACCTTTCGAACCTTCACTATGAAATAATTGTTTACTATTCAATAGAATGGATTGTTTCTGAGTATGTGCTCTTTAGTAAGAACGGCATTGAGTTTAAACTTAGTTAGGCATATGTTTGAGGCAGTGCCTCTTTTCAGTGTGCAGTTCAGTAAACAATTTGCTTTTAAAATGAAGATGCGTAAGGGCTATATATGACCGATACATTGAACTTTTTTGTCAAGTTGAATTTAGCTGTTGTTTACAAATGAAAATGAAAAGAATTTATATATGGCTTTATTTAAAATATTAGAAGCATCTATTCAGATTCCATTTCAGGCAAAGGCTCCTTTTAAATATTCAAATAAGAGAGATTATCTTAATTTAAAAAGACACATTTTTCAAAGATGCTCTTGTTTGGTATAGAGAACTATATAATTGAATGAACTCTGAATTTCTCTTACAGGTAGCTGGCAATTTTCACTTTGCACCAGGAAAAAGCTTTCAACAGTCTCATGTTCATGGTAAAATAACTTATGCATTGAATATCTTACAAACTTCCCTGCCCCCTCCTTTACATTTTAGGATACATTGATTGATTGATGATGCTTATATGTTATCAGTCCAGTTACTGCACAGTAGTTGTTGTGAATTCTAGCAGTATAAGTAATATATAATTCCTGAGTGTAGAAGAACTGGCAAGAGGAAATATTTCAAAAGTACTGTTTTCATAAGAAAAAGGTTATAATATCCAAGGTGTTCTCTCTCTCTCTCTCTCTCTCACACACACACACACCACATACACACAAATAGTTTCTTATTATTTCCTTCTTGTACAGGAAATGCTATAAGTACAATTTTAAAGGCATTCAGGTGATATGACCATCTGTTTCCTTTTGCAGGACTGATTTAATAAAATATGTTTCCAACATATAAAAATAAAATGTCAACATACATGACATTCAGTACACTTTAGATCAAATAAATGTTGGATATTTGAGACTGAAAAATTCATATGTAATTTAAAGCAACAAACATTAGGTTTGTGATTTAAAGATTTTCAGATGCTCAACAATTTTATTGCAGCTGTGGCACTGCACTGTATTACAAATATGATGTGCTATTTCCTTTTCTTATATGGCACTTGAGACTTTGTACATGAACCTGTAGATCTTTTCGATTGGATTGTGAGCTAAAACTGAATAAATAAGCTAATCCTCTTCAAGAGGAAGAAACTTGCAAATTTACTTGAACAATCTATGCATAATGATTTCTTAAAAGTTGAGTCAAATTCTGTATTGGCTAATATCCATTATGGTTTTTCATTCCTGTGTGGAAAGTTTCTTTGGCAGTAATTTATTCATTTTTCTGATGTTTGACATAGTTAATTCCAATTGCCTGTGAAAGGTACAAGATCTCGGTCAAAAGTATTTAGTATTTTTTCTCGAAAAAGAATTAAGTCAAAAGATACCGAGTAGGGTAGCACCTCTGTAAATCTATTATTTATTATCTGTTACATGCAGTCCTAACTGAATTAGGTAATGTTCAAACATTTGGAAATATGCATGCATGCTGTTGAAATTAAAGTTGTTGATTTATTTTATTTGCTAATTCTGTACTGTCTATAATAAAGGGGGCTAATTTCTCCTGTTAAGGCTTGGTAATACTTAAGAAATTGACTAAAGTGAGAATGATATTAGATATAACATTTTTTTGGTTCAAGGATCTGAGAATGAGCATTATATGGCCCTGATGTTTCATTAAAATATTGACATTGTTTGACGACAATTCTGTTCTTAAAAAACAATTTTCCCTGAACATTTAGAGGGTGTACTACTACGGTACTTAACCTTTATAATCCATTGAATCACACAAATTTTCTTATAGAAGCTATATATTATATGTGAAGTAATAAGATCCCTTCAAATTTTCTGTAGAATATATATAAAGGGCACAGATATAACACCATTGCAAAGTTAGCAAACATGGTTTTCAAGAAGACAGGATTTATAATAAACAATGATTTAAGGTAAACTTTGCAGAAGCATCAATGTTATCAGTTATAACTCCTCACTCTGAATTATGGTGCAAGAGAAATAAATTGGAATTTTTATAAAGCTTATATATCAAAAGTAAATGATGCTTATCATTCATAGAATTGGCAGGTTTGTCCCATAAACCTAATTCCCAATATCAAATCAAATCTTTAAAAATGAAGCAAGTGTTTTAATTTTTATGTTGGTATGATTGGTTTGGTAGGGCCTGGCTGTTATGCTTTGTAGGCTTTGGTGTTTTTATACTGCATTTAAAATTGAAATCGGGCTGATTTGTTTGTGCATGTTTTAGTATCTTGCTAATGTTCAATGTCAGAGTGCAAGTTTAGATGCAGGTTCTGTCAGCTTGTTTATTGAAACACAATAGTGCTTTTCTTCCTTTTTTTTCTTTTGATGTTGCAGTGTAATAAAGTTATTTATTTTTTTAAAAAGTGGTCTGGTGGTTAAATAGGCCAAAGTGATGATGGGGATGATGTTACTTTGTACCCTTGGTGGTGGTAGTTGTTATACAGCAACAATCCACTGCTTTTTATGTTTTTCTTTTGCTATGGAAGAGAAAGAGAGAATTTTCTTGCCTGCCCCATTTCTCCTAAGAAGCAAGGACCCAGTAATGATTACTTCACCCTTCCAGACCTCTAGCATTAGCAAGATAATACTGTACTGGCTGACCAAAAAAAAAAATCACATTTGAGTGTTTTCTTTTTTCTTTTTGCTGTGGGAAAGTGAAAAGCTATTTATACTTTGTCATGAGTTGACAATAGGCATCTTAGTACAAGTAATGCCCATCAGTTGCCTTATTTGAGTTTTTTTGTGCCTCAAACCCTCAGAACATTTTAAGCTTTAAAATGATTGGCAGTTTAGTGCTGGATGATGATTCATCCTCAAGTTAGATGGCTTGCTACTGAGGAAGAGCAGGAGTTATTTTTGCCACTTTGCGTTTGTAATACAATTAAATTAAAGCCCTTGGGACAGTTGCTGATGCTGCCATGTAGGAAAAGAACATCTGAAACAACAAAGAAAAAAATGCAGTGGGAAACGTGGAAGCATGGCCATGGGAAAGCTCAATAGAGTAAAAGATGAAATGAACCGATTACACCCCGACATTTCAGTGATTAGTGAATCGAATAGACTGAAATTGGACACTTTCAATCAGATGGTTTAATTAATTAATTAATTAATTAAATGCTGCCCATTTTGCTATCCAGGCGGCTCTGGGCAGTTTACAATATAGTATGATTATACTATTTAGTGTTCAGAATACAAATAAAGAAATAATGGCCTTGTTTTCAACTCAGGAAAAATATAGCAAATATCATCCTCAACTACAATGCAGCCAGTATCTAAATAATATCAATTAAATTTTGCAGACAACCTTTTAATATAACAGTTAGGCAGACTCTGATGTAGAAGGAGGGGCTGACAGGTTTCATAGTCAAATTCAATCTGAAATTGACCAAAAATGCAAGCAAGTTGTGTTGTGTTTAGACCCAGGAATGCCAATGTTGGAAATACTAGCTAGCCAAATATTCTCAGGAACAGAAGTTAAGCAGCAGAACCACTTTTCAGTTTTTGCCACTTCAATGATTTCTTCATTACATCATATCGATACAAGGAAGTGGAAGTGCTCAGTTTTAACAGCAAAGGTGTAGCTAGAAGCTTTGCAACAAATCATGAACTCCTCGGGTGCAAATTCTAAGTCAAGATAAACCAGAAGAATAAAGTCAAACAATTTCCAAAATATGTTCTGGAGCGTATACCCACTGTTTTCAAGGAGAACATCAGGAATCACTTTGAAATCCTGAACCTCATTTACAGGGAACCAGAAGAATTCTGAAATAAAATCGAGGAAGCTTCCAACCTCAAACTGATATGCTGAAGCAGATGAAAGATGGAAGGAATGTACTGCAATTCTGAACAGCAACGATGCCAATATCCTAGATACTTATTTACAACAACAACTTGATAGCACAATAAAAAAAATCTGTATGAAACACAGCCAACTTGAAATGTTCCAGTGCAGCAGGGGTTGCCAGAGAGAGGAAGGAGTCAAGCTATTCTCCAAAGCACCGGAGGGCAGGACAAGAAGCAATGGATGTAAACTAATCAAGGAGAGAAGCAACTTAGAACTGAGGAGACATTTCCTGACAGTTAGGAACAAATTGCCTACAGAAGTTGTGAATGCTGCAACACTGGAAATCTTAAAGAAAAGAATGGATAACCATTTGAAATGGTATAAGGTTTCCTGCAGGGAGTTGGACTAGAAGACCTCCAAGGTCCCTTCCAACTCTGTTATTCTAGCAATTCTGAATGGGCTTGTTTTATGTGCATTCTATTCTATAGATCATTGAAACCAGTTTCATACATATTTTAAAAACACATGTTTAAAGTACCTTATGCTTTGCACAGAGCTATGTACTATTTTTCAACTAAGCACTGATAGAAATTCCTACTATAAATAGTGGAGTTCTATCATAGTCTCTGCATGTATACATAGTTTTTATGTTTGCTACTGCATAATATGAGAAACAATAATTTTGAAAATAAAACATCATTATTTATGATTTTCCAAATGTAGCTTCAGTTAGATATTACCTCTGCTTTTCATCTTCCTGCTTAGTTGGGCACATTCTTCCATACTGCCTTGATCAAATCCTTAGGAGTGTTTACGTTACAGTAATGTTTCATGAATTTAGTTGCTAAGTGGATATCTAAATATTCCTTTATATTTCTTTAAAACCCTTGGCATTAAAGAGGAATTTGTATGTATTTGGTAGAACCTGTTAAATAAAGAGCCCACTTTCTGAAGTAAATAATTTACAGAATAATTACAACTAAGTTGGGATAAATTCATGGAAGTTTTTTTTTTTCTTTATATTTTTTCCTGAATGAGTTGAGGCATTAGAATAGGCATACTTTTAACAGTAAAAAGATTGTGAAATTGCTGAGGAGAAGACAACTGGAGGTCACAATGAAAAATTTAAAAATATTTATGTGTGCATTTACTGTTGAAGAGCTTTTTATTTAATTTCATTATTTAAATTGTTTAAGTTATTTATTTAAGCTATTTCGGTTTAAGAGTGTATCATGATCTTTACTTGGAAATGCTGATTCTTAAACATTCAATTTTTAGATTTTTTTTTTAAATGCATCATTGTCTGATACAAAAAAGGCTTGCTCCAGTAACTTTATGTGTTGTCTGTCTTTTTGCAGTTCATGATCTTCAGAGTTATGGACTTGACAATGTAAGTTCCCTAAGAGAACTTGTATCGGAGCTTTCTATTTACATTGGAAAGGTTAAGAGATCTACCAGCTGTGCACATGTAGATAATTTGTCATCTATTAGTGTGGCATGTGTAGAGAATAACTACAACTATAGGAGTAATAAAATTATTATATTTAAAATTGTTGTAGAGTTCATTATGCAGTGCATTCATTTTAAAAAAAATCCCTCTCCCCTTTTGCTAGAATTGTTGTCCTCTTTGATAGAGGATGTAGATCACTGAGCACAAACAACCTATCTCTTTTTTAATGGCTGCTGTTCCCAGGAGGGAGTACAGATGTATAATTGCGGGTGGGGGGGGGGGGGAAGAGAGCTGTACTGCTTCTGCCCTCGGGTAATGTACACACAGGAACACAGAAAAAAAACAATATTAGCAGTTCTGACCTGGCATAAACTGGCACAGGTGCTAAATACTTGTTGTTCCAATCCACAAAGACGGAAGCCTGTAAAATGCATGTATGTATCTAGGCACTAGCTGGGAACAGATGAATAACAAGAGTCATATTTCATCCATGATACAAAATGGTACCTACGTTGTGAATGGCCCCCAGCCTGTTCCATCCGTGCTATTTCTGCAACTCCTTGATATTTTGGGGCTTTGTTTCTTTGCTTGTTTCAGATAAACATAACACACATTATCAGGCATCTTTCATTTGGGAAGGATTATCCAGGTCTTGTGAACCCACTTGATGGAACCGTTGTCACAGCTCATCAAGGTATTGGTTTGAAGCAGCCTTTCAATCTAAAATAAAGGTGACAACCAGCACAACTTTTGTTTACAGTTTGTTGGGTGATTAAGTAAAATAGATTTGGCTAAACTAATCATTTTAATTATAAAATGGAGTTTGGTAACTTTTCAGCAGAATCATAAAAATGCAACGTTGCCTATCTTTTTCTACTTCAGACTAAGGAATATATGCCTAATGGGACCGTATCCTTTCTTCTTTCTCCATGTTTTCATTAACTGTGTGAATAGAGTTAGGCATTAATGGATATCCCCTAATTGCATGGTCTTCTTTACAATATCATCTTTTAATTTCTCCTTCAATTTGTTTGAACGGGACAGCAACAAAAAGAGAGGGGTTTGTTAATCTTATTGGGTATTTTAAGGAAGGACTCATGGACTCAACCTCTCACTTTATACTCTCTTCATCTATTAACTTAGTTTTATTAATTGCAGATCCAAGTTATAATAATAAAAATTTATGATCGAAAGCCTGCTGAAATTCATAAAATTCCACCCCTAAAATGGCTGGTGCTAATCTATTTTAAATTCTTGCTGAATCCTAATCAATGTTTTAAAATTTTTGAAGTTTTAAAATTTCTTGAGGTTTTCTCCACAAATCCAGCTTTTTACTTTTTGATAGTTGTGTGCAATTGCAAGCCACTTCCTACTCTGAAAAACACTTTGAGATCTATGCAAAACTCAGAATGTTCCAGAAATTAACAACACTGTTTGCACATCTCTAGTTTTTAGATGTCCACAGTAGGTGGCAGCACCTACAAATCTTGGTTTATCTAAGGAAAGATAAGCAAGGTCATACCTGATCAATACTTGGGTGGGACACTATAAATAACTCAGGATTATTAACTGAGAAGTCTTAAAACATTCAGGAAGAAGGCGGCTACATAAATATTCCCACATAATCATCAGGAATCTATGTTAATCATTATAGTAATTCTAGAGGAAAACTTGGAATTTTTTACTCAGGCAGCAATGTAATAAGTTGTGTGATAGTCTTTTGATACTGAGTAGAGTTTCGCAAGCTGTGTGAATGGGAAGATAAGATCCTGGTGGATTTCATGCCCAAATCTATTAATGCTTACCAAACTACTGGTTGAGTTCTACTCATCAATTTTGGTTACTTACTTTTGGTTACTTCTGGTTACTTGACATGAGCTATTCTGTGCATGAGGGAACTGGGTGCTCCAGCCCAGAAAAATGTTTCAGGTTGTTTGAGTCCTTGTATGGAACAATAGGTTTTTTTTGTTTGTTCCATATACAGTCTCCCAGAATGCATTTTCCAGTTAGAAATGGTTTGAGAAGGAAAAGGGTCTTGGTTTTCTATGCCAATAATATATGTGGACATCCCTGGAAGTGAGAGATTTCCTTTGCAGTGGGATGTGCAAACACTGATGGCAATTGTGGTTGTTGCAGGAAAGGAAAGATGTTGGGTGATGGGGTGGCTGACAATATAGACGCAATAAAAAATGGGGTGATGCAAACCAGCTTTGTTGTGCCCTGTAAAATCACTTTGGGATTTTTTTAAATTTTATTTCAGTCTGAACTTGAAACAACCAAGTGATTTTTTTTCCTGCTGAACTACATATAATCCAAAACAATCCAGCAGAGTCATTGGACATCATGCAGTATTTGTACTGGTTTCAAAACACAGCATATTGTCTGTTTCACCAATTATGATTTTATTTTATCTTTTAGCTTCAATGATGTTTCAGTATTTCGTAAAAGTAGTCCCCACAGTGTACATGAAAGTTGATGGTGAGGTAAGAGCTGAATATTGTCTTTTCTTTAAATACTTTTGTTTAAATTTGGTTAAATTCAACATTAGATGAATCATCCTTAATTCAGATTCTATTATTGTTTTCTCTTCCTTTTACATAACCCCAAAATCTGCTGTGAGAACTGCAGGTGGAGAGGTTACAGGATGAAGGAGAGTTCAGATTTTCAGCAGAATCCTTTCTGGGGGAAAAGTAATCTGCTATATTTAATTGGGTGTTAAGAGATAGCGTTCATAAATACAAGATAGAAAATTGCAAGCAATTCTATATATTTTGTTATTAAGCCATGAATAGCAGGCCTAGAATCTTCCAAAATAGAATCACAGAAATTCTAGAATTTTTGAAAGGAGGCAGTTGGATTGCAGGTTACTGTTACTATGGTTGCAGTCTTTTTGCATACATAAAAGAGAAATGAATGATATGTACTTAAGAATGCTTCTACCCGAAGAATATGCAAGGCCATACTCAGCTGCATTTTTCTTTTTCTTTTCTTCAGTTTGGATGATGCCTGACCCTAATCAACTATTTTAACATTTTTGTAGATGGTGAGGACAAATCAATTTTCAGTAACAAGGCACGAAAAAATAGCCAATGGACTAATTGGCGATCAAGGCCTACCTGGTGTGTTTGTACTATATGAGCTTTCTCCCATGATGGTGAAATTAACAGAGAAGCACAGGTAAGAGAGTCTCAACATTAGCATGAGTGCGAAGCAAAAAAAA